CGAAATTGGGAGTTCCAATCGCAAAGGAACGGTTCATCCGTTGGGGGAGATCATAATCATGAATTATATTGGATTAGGATGCTCCACTGACATTGTGTATGCGTGCTTGCTGTCACATGCGTGCCGCTCCACTGTTGTGCGCGCGGGTTGCCGCAAGCGGTTATACTAGTCGTTCGGGTGGATTACTACTAGCAAGGATCTGTCAGTTGGTTCTTACCTGAATACTTGTCTTCCGTGTTGGTAAATCTACAATAAATGTAGACAAGTCATGAGAACGCGAGTATTATAGTGGGAATCAGCGCCGTGGAGGGAGTTCGAAGCAGGAAGTGCATGCGATACCACCGACGAACTGATAATGCTGATGCTCCTTGAGAATTTCCCGTAAATGAAAACTTAGTTGTTGTCTCATTGTAGGCGAATTTGCATGATGCAATACATCGTCTAAAAGTCGCGTCACCAACTCATCTCACGCTTCACGTTTTGAGAATCGGATTTCACTCTATCATGTCCTGCAACTCTCCTCTAAATTTCTGACAAATGACAGCGGACTCGTCGCTCGCATGATCATGAGAGTCTCATCCGCGGATTCTGAGAGATAGTCTTATCACTAATAAGTTATCATTATTGGAACTCCAACTCCGTACATTTCGGTACCTTAATGTAGCTGCGACGGCACACGAGACCAGTACCGTGACGTCTCCTCTTCCTTCAGGAGTGACGTGACGGCGTCACGGTGGCGTCACGTCACGGTTCATCGCGCAAAACAGCCCGACTTTGTTAGTTATCCGTGCGAGGAAGCCTCCATGAGACCCGGTCGAGAGCTTCTCTCCAACTTTCCATTGGCTTGTCCTCGTCTTCAGTATACTCACCCCTACCATATGACTCGTCTGCTGAATATCTTCGCAACCATCGCCGGTGTCCTGAGCACCCAGGCTGATCCTTCCGCTGACGATCAAGTTGCAAACTTCGCGGCTCTCCTTGGTAATCCGGATGTCCACAAGTTCATAGACAAAGCCCTGATGGATGCTCCTCCACCGCCTAACCCCAATAGCCGTGAGCTGGATGAGGTTCTCGGAGACGGAGATCTTGCAAGTGGAAGGGATCGCTACCGGTTCTGTTCTAAATGCAAAACTATTCACAGTACGGCCATCAACGCGTATTTCATCCAGCAGATCACTGAGATTTGCCGGAGATCTGGACCTGACCCAGGCCCCAGGTCACCTGGGAGAGATCACTTCTCACCCACCGACGAGTTCTGTGATCACCTCAAGAAGGGAATCGCCTCGCTCGACCAGTTCTTGAACGGTTACATCTTCATGCGCTCCCGTGCTCTTCAACTCGCCACCACTGCATGCATCGGCACTAAGCAGTGTCCGACCCATGACGCCTACAACTCTTTCTTCAATCCCATCGTCCCCGGACGACTCGTTGACTTCACCAGATTCGAGTATTGCCCATATAGACCTTTTTACAGCGAAAGGAATTGTTTCGAAAAGGTATCAAAGAAGATGCTGGAGTTCGCCGTCCGCCAGGTGGAGTATGCATGTGGAGACTATGGAAATAAGGATCTAGAAGAGTTTTGCGGGTATGTTACAACTGATGAGCACTTCGGCCAAGGTCTGGTTCTCGGCTTTGTGGGTGTCTACGAGCTAGCCGTTGGTTATTGTGTCGCCGACCAATGCCAGTAGGTTTTATGATATGTCATGATCCTCCAATGGAGGCTTCCGATGTTTCTGCCTCTGATCAATGCTCAGATCGTGTTGGAGCGTAAACGCTCCGTAAGCCATGGACTTTCTATTGAGCTGATCCGATAGAAACACTTCTTATTACATCCAAGCCACTGAGACTCCACCAGCGCCTGATGCTCCTTCATTACATCCAGTCCAATGCGACTCGACTCCAGCCTTCTTCTCAGACGTTTTTCATCTTTTTATTTTTTACAATTTATTTTTATCTTCATCTTTGTTCACATTTTTCTCTTTCCGATACAATGGGGTTGTGTTCAGCCCGTGGCTGAGTATATGGAGATCAAACGCTGTAACAGTCGTGGGAATGATGTCATACGGTTCTCAATCTATCTCGGTCCGAGATTCTCGGATTGGCGTGACCAACTCTCATGACGAGCTAGATCTCCCAAACGAGTCTATCGCATATAATATACATATACTCAGCGATACGCAATGGGTATACCATTGTGATACTCCATACCCCTCCAGCTAGTCGGTTGTTATCCGGAATACTCTGTGGAGCATGCTTGGGTAGGTACTCGCTCCTTCCCATGACATTGCTTGTGTTCGCATCTGTACAATGATATGCGTATCCACTCGGGTTCAAAACCCGCCGCATATCAGCTAGTATGCAATTGATATGCGAGTCAGTGCAGATCCTCGTCCCGATCGGTTTGGGAACAAGTAATGTGACAAGTAGTGATCCAAGAGTAAATAATGTCGGACTTGTTCAAGTGTGAAAGTCAGCTACAGCGTTTCCAAGTCAACTTGATGTTTTGCATGAATTTCTAATGACTTCACTTGTTCTGGAAGATTGCATTTTTTCTCAATTTTCATCAGCTGGTCACAATCATTCCGAAATTCCAACGAACATACCAATTCAAAAACGTGAAACAACTCCTATTAAATACGTTAGTACTATATGTAGATCTTTCGTGCGTCACAGATGAGCGAATCATAAATTCTTACGCTCAACACGAAGTTCCCTTAGACCCACAATGTTAGAATGTGCCGTTTTATGACTTTGCATGCGGTATCCACTCTCCCAAGGGAAAATTCCGATGATAGAGATTTTGACGATGAGCCGTATATATTTGGATCACCACTCGCACAACGACTCCGTTCGCTTTATCAAAACGTCAATGATCAAGTCTGGCGATCCATTGGTCATCACACAACAATGGATAGGTGAAGCGAATAGGTCAGAAAATAGTCTGTAGTTTTGGGTTAAGTTTATGGCGATCATGAGCCTCCGAAACGGTAATTGCTTCACGGACGATTTCTTGGCGCGATCGCCATGATGTTACTCATAGAATATGTGTTTCGCTTTGGTCATTTGAATGACACAAAGGAATGCGTCTGAAGAATACTGCGACCTATGTCACAACCTCACCGATCTTGCTGATGAAGAGCTTTACGTTAGCCGTCCAGAACTATCTACACCTTCCCAGCCTCTACACCACCATCACAGGCTTCACTTTCGCCAGGCGGGCTAGTTTGTTATTGGATCCTGCGCACATCAATGTGCTTGCGTGCTTCCTGAGATCTATAGCTAATGGTGATGGTAGTTCGCCCAGAGTCTGGGCCCCAGACGCTGGACGGCACGTTTCCCTTCCCTCTCCTCTTGAGTCACTGTCCTAAGGTTCCGTACCTTAGCTACCTCTACTGTAGAGGCTCTACAAGCTCATCAGTACTTGTGTTATCCAGTCCGTGGGCTTTACTATCACATCACACACTTCCGCTACATCTACTCGAACCCGTTACAATTTCGTGCGCCAAGGTAGAAATTTAATGGGGTAGATCTTGGTGCAATATCTGTGACGACCCGTGAAAGCGAAGCAAAACTTGTACATTCTTGCTCCTTATCATAGACCGCGCCGGATATCTTGTCGTATTAATGGGTCGGACTTCATCGACTACTTAACTCGATGAAAACAAAACGACATGTGACGCATGCCATGCTCCATGCGACTCGCATGGTCATGCATTTGCCGGAGTAAGTTCGCATGTCAGAGGAGTGAGCATTATAGTAGAGCTCTTCCCTGCTTCCCTCCAGTTAGTCGAACCTATTAACCTTCATGGCGATTTTCATCCAATACGGCCGCCTCTCGAGCATCTCTTGCCCGTTAGTAGTTCGGAGTACAGTTTTGATGTGCCTTCGTATATGCACTAATCAGTTCGCTTCGTACATTCACCTCCATTCACCCAGTGAGATTCACGAGTCGCGACTCTATCACTCATGTCGGCGACTACTTAGTGGTGGTCTCCGCGGCGTTCTGATTTGGTCGCCGTTCAGACTGACTCATCTAGTAGATGACGTCTCGGAGAGGCTGATCGGGGCATTCTCGCCGGAGTTCGAAGATCAGATAATACGAAGGGCGGCTTGGACGAGTACAACCCAGGCTGGGCTGAGAACCTCGAATGTATATGGAGCGTATGTACCCAATAAAGTGGTAACTTTGATAGGGAACGTTCAGTGCACTGCGAGGTCGATATTCGGGTAGTTGTTTCACTGCAGTCAATCTCAACCTTCTAACAGTCCTCTATTGCCAAACGCAAGCCCCGGTTTCCGGGCCGCCGGTTTGAAGTACAGCATCTTACCCAGCTCCAGCGTGACGCTGGCAGAGTCTATGGAATTTCTGTGTTCAGGTCGCTGGTAAGCAAAGGACCTCCGTTTGTTGTTGTGTAATGTTTGTTGTGTTCTTGGTGATTGGGACAGTCTTTAGTTCTCTCATCACTGAGAGAACTAAAAAAATCCTCTGCATGCCGAATGAACCCTTTGAGGATCGCTCATCAGTGAGTGACAGAGTGCACGGTTCCGCAGTTACTGTAGCAACGGACTTAGGTAGCCGATTTCGGGGCCAGGCATTATCGTTCACTTCACATGGCGAGTAAGAGAGAGTGTGAGCGATTGCGGGATATGGGAGACGCTCTCGTGAAGAGGGTGGCTGGGGCAGACCGAAGGCGGAAGGCAGCCGAACAGTTAGGGGAGAGGGGTTCTCGAGTCTCTGTTCCTAACCTTCAATCGATCATTCGATAGGGAGCTGGCTGCACTAAAGAATCGATACGGCCAACTCGAGCTATCGCTCCATGAACTCTGTGCTCGAGAGAAAGTGAGAGTCGGATACTGATCGGCAGCCTTGAAAGCTTCCGCACCAGATCACCTCTTGCGGGAGCTCTGAACCAACGAAGATATCGGCTGTGAGCCCGCATGAGAAGAAATGCTCATCACGAGAAGTAGAAGATAAGATTGCGCAACGATTCTCTAATCAAATGGCGACAATAGAAAAGCTCAAGCGTATCAACACCGACCTGGCGGCTGAGGTGATCACACTTTGGTCCCGACGTTGCAATCATCGCGTCAGTGTCTGTTAAACGGCACACTGACTCGTTTTAGAACGCCTCTTTCCGTAGTCGGCTCGATGCACTCCGATGTGAGGCTGAACACAAGAAGGATTGCCTACGGCGGAGTGCCCACTATGTGGTTGCATTGAAGGAGGAACGGCGGGAAAAGGAGGACAATATTGTCAAGTTGGGATCTCTAGTGGAAGTAAGCAGATTCGCACCGTCCCGCACGTTGTTCAGTGAACAATGTTCACTCGCTCACGTGTCAGTCTCTGAACGCTGATAAGAAGGAATTAAAGGCGGCTGCTAGTCACGTACGTAGCGACAACGACAGGCTCGAGTGAGTTCCTCATCTCGGGAAGTTTTGGGATTGCACTACTTTCAGGAGAATCGTTCAGGAATTGCGAGAAGAGATCTCGGCGTTGAAGGCTCTTCGTGACGAAGGGGATGATCAAGTGATTCGTTTGCAGCGAGAAGTAAAATGCCGAGTGAAAAGTTGCGTCCGCAGCATCGTGCTAGGCATTGGACTTCCAGCAGGAAGCGCGGGATCTTCGAGGGACCCTAGCGCGTGTCCGAACAGCCCTGGACCAGTCGAGACGTGAGCGGGATCACTGGAAGCAGCAGAGTTTAGAGGCGACTCAGCACTGCTCAGAAATGGATGAGCGAATCGCTGAGTGCGGCATAAAGATTCGCTTGCTCGAGTATATGATGTTCAGGTTGACCATGAGGGTCAAAGCTCTCGAGCTCGAGAATGCTCAGCTGCGCGGCCGTGGAGGAGGTCAGCTTCCCTCGGTTGATGAGGGCGCCGTTGATGAAGTCCGTGACGATACCACCAGCGGAGAGGATGATACCGTAGCGGGTGCATGTTGATGCTCCTGTCTCCAATATTGGTTGTTTTCAGGAGTGGTATCAGCTTACTCAGCGGATGGCAGCGATCGCTGCTAGCTCCTGAGTGCAGATACGAAGGTCTGGTATGAAGCATGGCATGCCGCATGCGTCGGACGCGACTCAGCCATTTCATCATGTTGTACGGTTTTCGTCGAGTTGAGCAATCGATGGAGTCTATCAACGGTGTGGTGTTGAAGTACAGTCAAGGCACGCTTCATCGCATCGCGTTAGTTATTTGGGAGTGTTGGGTGAGACTGAGTGTTAGCCAACTAGGCAGCAGAGGGCGGTGATAATACCGAACCTCACAACACGCCGTGCATTGGCTTAACACCACAGTCACATTGCCTAGCACGCAGCACATAGGCA